AGGAGGAGGAGGAGGAGGAGGAGGAGGAGGAGGAGGAGGAAGACTGTGGAGTCCTTGGTGCTCTCTAAACTTGGTTGTTTTCTTGTGGCCATTTCATGACCCAACTAGTTAACATCATCAGTGCTAGAGAGGAGGAGAAGGGGAGGAGGAGGAAGAGGAGGGGGGAGAGGAGGTGGAGAGGAGGAGGAAGACTGTGGGGTCCTTGGTGCTCTCTGAGCTTGGCTGTTTTCTTGTGGACATTTCATGACCCAAACTAGGTAACATCATCAGTGCTAGAAGGGAGTGGGTTTCTAGAGAGGAGGAGGAGGAGTGTAGAGCCCTTGGTGATTTCTGAGCTTGGTTGTCTTCTTTCTAGTCTAGCATTGATGATGACACCTAGTTGGGTAATGAAATGTCTGCAAGGAAATGGGAAGAGTTAACCAATCCATAACAACAACAACAACATCGAATAACCACCCTCTTTCGTAGGTCAGATGAATGCCACACAACCTGTTCGTCGTGGGTAGCGTGCTTACCGTAAAATCACGTGCACAGTTCTTACAGTGACAAGCAGCGACTGTTAAGGGACAAAAAGAATTCGCCCGTCATTCTCCGAGGCTGGAGCGGTTACCACAAAAAAAACAAGGAAATGGCTTTTCCAGTCCTGCGAGTTTAAATGTTCCTTCTGCATTCCACAATTGGCAATGGCCAAGATCAGAAGAAGATTAAGTTACAGAAACTATATGTCTGTTCTTGGAGAAGTGCAGAATTTTGTTTTGTTTTGTTTTGTTTTGCACTCACACTCACACACACACACACACAAAATAAATAAATAAACCCAAAATATCAAAGTAGCTTTGTTTTGTAAGATACACAACTTTGGAGAACATTTTACAAAAAATGGGTAAAATCGATTTATACCTCGCAGGAAGCACAAATGGACAAACAGACAAGGCCCTATGGGATACAAAAAGGGACAAGACGCCTTTATTCTAGTGCTCAAACGGATATATAAGATGAAGAAGTTCTGTTGCTAAGCAGGGAGGTTGCTAAGTGACTCATGTCCAACTGTACGACCCGTGCACCGCCATTGTTAAGTGAACCACTGCGTTTGTTAAGTGAGTCGTAAGATCATGACATGAATCCAGTTTCCTGCTTTGACTTTGCTTGTCGGAAGCCAGCTGGGAAAGTCACAAATGATGATCCCCTTGCCCTAAATACATGCCAGTTGCAAAGCGATCCCATGAACGTCAGGGTGCTATGCTGGTCGTACATGCGAGGACCAGTCCCAAGTCTCTTTCTCCGGGGCCTATAATGTTGAATGCTTGCTTAAACAAAAGGTTGTAAATCTAGAGCTACCTGAAGTTGCTTCAAAAGAAAATTCTGCTTAAAAGTTTTAAGTTATGACAAGCGATGCGGGTAGTCCTCGACTTACGACTGCAATTGAGCCCAACGCTTCTGTTGCTAAGTGAGACAGTTGCTAAGAGAACTTTGCCCCATTTTATGAACTTTCTTGCCACAGTGTTGTGCTTAGCCAGCAGCAGGTGCGGACAGCTGAGGAGAGCGAGGACTCAGGTGAGGGGCCAGGACCATCAGGGAGTGGACTGCTGCCTTCAGGGATTGTGGGGGCTGGCAGCAGCGATGAGGAGGTTCCCGAGGAGCCTCTGCCAAGTGCAAAGCGTGCGTGCAGGGTTGCTCGAAGGAAAGACCAGCTGCAGCAGCATGGGCGACTCGGGAGTAAAGCTGCAAGGTAATGGCCCCTCCTTCAAGAAGATAAAAGCCAGCTGTGGATCGGATGTTCTTTACAGGAAGCAAAGACATTTTGAAACTCAGCCTAGTGGGCATTGTAGTATCTTAGTTGGTATTTGAAGACTCTTGAGTTGTAAAATATCTCTAGGTTACCTTATCTGTTATTCTTGGCAGCCTCGTGCCGTTTTGGCGAAGCTTGTGTTTATCAAAGTTAATTACTGTAGTTTGCAGCAGCCTTTTAACTGGGGATTCGTAAGAATCATTAAAAGGTTTCTGTTCCCTTTGGTTCATGTTTGTTTTATTGGAAAAGGGTTTGGGCCAGAACACACAGTTGTTCATATGATAGACTTGCAGGGCCAGCATTTCAATTTCATTGTACACATGTTCTGCATTGACAATAAATGTTTGATTGATTGATTGAGTGGATCAACGGAGTTGTTAAATTAGTCACCTGGTCATTAAGTGAATCTGGCTTCCCTGTTGACCTTGCTTGTCAGAAGGTCACAAAAGGGGATCATGTGACCCCAGGGATGCTGTGACCGTCATAAATAGGAATCAGTTGCCCGGCATCTTAATTTTGATCAGGTAATCCTGGGGATCCTGCAATGGTCCTATGTGTAAAAATTGGTCACAAATCACTTTTTTCCAGTGATGATGTAAGTTTGAAGGGTCACTAAATGAGCTCTTGTAAGCCGAGGACACCTGTACGAATTCAAGATTTTATTAGTTTTCAGCAGCAGGATAGTTTGCAGATTTTTTTTTTTTAAATTCACTGTCATGCCCTTGTCAGTGTCTGAATCTGAGGAGGAACACAAACAGCTGACAGGGGGTGGGAGTGTGGCTCTGTTGGCTGTGGAGGAAACTGGGGAAAGGCAACATCCAGCTGGGCAGAGCAGGAGAGAGGTAGAGCAAGGGCGAGGGAGTTTAGAGGAAGGCCCTTTGTCCTAGGGCATGCAGGGAGGAACGGAGAAGAGAGCAACGGGGGTTGCGTGGCTTACCGGGGAGGAAAGAGCCCTGATTCCCTTCATTAGCCACACCTGGGAATGAGTGTTTAAAAGAAATGCATGCTAAGTGTGGTAGCTGCTGTGAGAAAACGTGAGTTTATCTTCTGTTGACTTTGCTTATCTGTGTTTCTGGCATCTTCCCAACCGTGTTGAGTTATTGCCATGCCTTCACATCTGGAATTCCTAATTAACTCATTTTGCCTTGATTGGACTTATGATTGATTGGACTTATAGTTCCAGTTTTTGTTGACCATGTTTTGGACCTGATTCTCTGCAGCTAAAGGCTGTTCCTGGGAGAGTTTTTTCTCCAGCCAGAAGGTAACTAGGACATTGGGGGCAAAGTTGGAGCTAATAAAGGGACTCCTACTGATTATCTGGCTGTGTTGCTTTTGTGCCATACCCCTTTGTGTCATCACAGTCAGTGTGTTTGAGAGAGAAACCTAACACTAAATCCATAGACTATTTACGTGGAGAAAGTAAAAAAGGATGAATAATATGTAACAGAAAATGACCGTTGTATTAAGTAATGTGAAAGAGGAAACTGAATATTTGTAATTCTGCTAAACGGAAAAAGCTTGCAAATCCTATGAAGGACAGGATCCAATTACAAATGAAATAACTATAGGCAGACCTCGACTTACAACCACAATTGAGTCCAAAATTTCTGGGGCTAAGCGAGACACTTGTTCAGTCCATGTTCGTCCTGTTTTACAATCTTTTTTGCCAGAGTGGTTAAGAGAATGATTGAAATTGTTAAGTTAGTAGCATGGTTGTTAGAGTGAATCTTTCTTCCCCATTGAAGGTTGCAAAAGGGGACCCCATAACCCGCTTTCCATGGACAATGTAGCCATCATAAATATGAACCGGTTGCCAAGCATCTGAATTGTGACCGTGTGTGTGTGTGTGTGTGTGCGTGCTGCAATGGTCATAAGTGTGAAAATGTCATAAGTCCCTTTTCTTTCGGTGCTGTCGTAACTTTGAAGGGTCACTAAATGAACTGTTGTAAATTCAAGGATTGTCTGTATTTAACAAAAACCTCTTTAAAAAATAAGATTACATTTAATGAAGTGCCGTTCAGAACAATCCATTGCTACTTAGGATCTCTGCCATGCCTACCCTGATGCCCCCCCCCACACAAAAAAGGGCTGAGGGTCATCACAAGGACATACCGAACACAAGAAAGGAATGTGACGTCACTGCAAAAGGACACAGGTATTTCATGGGTCCCGTCAGTAAAGCCAAAGTGCCAAAATAGACAAGGTCTCTAGTCACTTGGTAAAGCTAAGGGGCATTAACTGCCTGCAGAACCAACTTCCTGGAACACAAGACGCTGGAAATTGTAAACCCAATGTAGACAACCCCAATGTTTTTTAATATGCGTCAAATAAAGAATCAAAGGACTACTTCGTTTCTATGTTTCTATGTAGATTCTGAACGGCTCAAGGTTGACTCAGCTTCCCAACCTTCTTGATGTTAATAAGATGAGGAGCCAGATTGTTGAGGGCAGGTTGACTTTGTAAACCAATTAGAGGGGGCTCTGAAACACTGTGAAGCACTATATAAGTCTAAGTGCTATTGCCATTGCCCTTCCTTCCTTCCTTCCTTCCTTCCTTCCTTCCTTCCTTCCTTCCTTCCTTCCTTCCTTCCTTCCTTTCCTTCCTTCCTTTCCTCCTCCTCCTCCTCCTCCTCCTCCTCCTCCTCCCCTTCCCTTTCCCTATCCTATCCCATACTATCCATCCATCCAACCACATGTAGGTCAAATGTGGGAGCTCTTCAAAGAATGACAGACTAAGGCATGCTGGTACTGGTCTTCGGGTACTAACTTAAATTATAATTACATAATAATAAGGATGAGTGCTGAAACTATGAAGTATAGGCCCTCTGTGCTTAGCCATGAGTGGCTGGGAAGGGAACATTCCTAGCTCGCAAATGCTGTAATCCTGAACTGATTATATAAACAGTGTTAGGAAAGGCAGACCAATCTGTTCTTCAAAACAAACTACATCTTCGAACGATTCCAGTCCCTGGTAGTTTGAGCTCTGCTCCATAGATTGTGACTTGCTCAGTAGTGTTGAGTCCAGTGGAAAATCATTGCAGCCCCCATCTGTTTTTTGGGAGCTTCCTGGCCTCAGAAGAGCCGAAGGCGAAGTCAGGCAGGCAGGGTGAAGTGAACATCGGGCGGGAGGGCAACCAGGTTGGGGGCGTGGCCAGCCAGAACTTACTACCGGTTCTGCGACCCATGCCAAATCCTTGCTACCGGTTCGCCTGATCCAGTGCGAACCAGTTGAGTTCCATCATTGATCTTAACTTAGTGCACCTGTATAGGGTTTGCCAATTGCACAGGGGCAGATAGGAAAGCCCTCCAGAGGGTGAACGTCGTTGCCCAGGGGATCATGGGTTGTCCTCTCCCCTCTTTGGAAGAGCTTTATAGCTCCTGCTGCCTTAAGAAAGTTCAAAACATCCTCAAAGATCCATCTCATCCTGGGAACCCTTTTTTTTTTTTTTGAACTATGACCATCTGGCAGACGGTACGGGACAATAAAAACAAGCACAAATAGGCTGGAAATCAGATTTCCAGGTTAGAACCAAATATGAAAAAGAAGCACCAATACTTGATTCTGCATATTATAACAGCAGCTAGAATAAGTTTTGCTCAAAATTAGAAATTGGCTACGACTCCTTCAAAAAACATGATAATCAATAAGATACATGAATGTGCCAAGATGGATAGACTAACTGAACTGCTAAAAGATAATCAAGACAGTGAATATTACAAAACATGGGGTATCTGGTATGACTGGCTAAAGAAAAGGTGATATCTGATGACCCAGTAACATTTTGAAAATAAGGGTGACGTGTAAATAAATGTAAATAAACTATATGTATGCATATGTAGAGTTTAAAAGGACGAAGGAGTTATTACGACAATGTATAACACGCTATCGGAAGGAAAGTACAAGTGTATTGCTCAAACAATGCTGTAAAATGTATATACATGTTTTTAATTTTACAAACGTTGAATAAATATATATATATGTATTTTAAAAAAGGCTGGAAATCAGCTTCTATCCCAGGGCAATAGCTCTGTTGAATTCTACTGTATATAGTGCAATATTAATGCAGTATCAGGGGTTTTCAATTCAATTACATAGAATGTGAAGGATGTGTGTTTGTGTTTAGTTTCATAGTCATAATGTACACTGAAGATGGTATTTATACAGGGAGTCCTCCACTTAAAAAACAATTTGTTTAGTGACTATTCAAAGTTACGATGGCAGTGAAAAATGTGACTTATGTCCATTTTTTATAGTTACAACTTTTGCAGCATCCACATGTGATCAAAATCCAGATGCTTGACCACTGGTTCATACTTATGACTGTTGTAGTCCCGTGATCCACTTTTGCGACCTTCTGACAAGCGAAGTCCACAGGGAAGCCAGATTCACTTAACAACCATGGTACTAACTTAACAGCTGCAGTGATTCACTTAGCGATGTGGCGAGAAAAGTCGCAAATTGGGGCAAAATTCATTTAACACATGTCTCACTTAGCAACACAGATACTTTGGGGTCCATTGTGGCCATAAGTGGAGGACTACCTCTACTGCCTAAAGACACACACACACACACACACACACACACACAATGTAACAACCCTCCCACCTGCAGGCACAACGAAGCTCGATAAATCAGAAAAGCCTAAAACCCCAGGAAATTTAACCAGGAATCTCACCTCCGCTGCCATGAAGGACAGTGTGTGCATTCCATGCGTGTAGCCAATGAGGCCACACACCATTGCCAGGCCACAGCAGGAAAGTAACATGACAACCAGCAGAGTCAGGACTCGGATGTGGCTGTTCAACGGAGTGGTGGGCGAAAAAGAGAGCTGAAAAATACCAACACACGAGTTAGAATAGAATAGATACTGGAATGAAGAGTAGAGTAGA